TGTGTTTCGTATGGTGAGTGTAGAGAACCGGATATCCTTTTTACTGGAAATGAGGCATTCCATGGTAGTCCTCATGGGTGACAACGCATCTGCATTTCGATTCCTAATCGAGGATATATGTAGATATCTATGGACCACAGCAACCACTTACCATCAGGTGGTCTGTGTGCTCGTTTGTCACCCTATCCTATAAAAAAAAAATTACGTGTGGCACCCGGTGACTGCCGCGGTAAAGCTATTGCATAGCATTTTTTATCAACTTATGCAATTATAATTATTTATTTATTTTATTTATGCAGTTAAGTTTTTGATATTAAATCAAGTTACACTTTTTGAGCGTGGTGACCGATAAGAAAACAATTTTTTTTCTCTTATTGAATAAATGAGAAGTTAATATTGTTTAAAATATTTTTAATATCTTACAATACATTATTCAGGAATTTTTATCATTGAGTTAGCAGCTAGTGTACACACATACGTCTAGTCGCACGCACACAAACACCGTGCCGAAGTTTGCCCAGTGCCGAAGTCTGCCGAACTGAAACGACGTTAGACGATGCACGGCTTTCAACGTCACACCTCCGTGCCCGTCGGAGTGGGGAGCGAGAGGTTTTTTTCGTTACGGAATTTCTGGATTCGGTCCCCGCGCTCAAGGCCCGCGATAGAAGCTATGCAATAGCTTAAAAATATCGAAAATACTGTATTTTCCACATAACAATACGGTGTTTGCGAGAAAAATACAGTGTTGATGAAGAAAGGTGTATTTTACAGTTGAGTTAAATGACGTAAAACAATTATGTTATTGCGTAAAATATTTATTTATTTTGAACATAATATCCTCAAAGTAACTAAATATCTTAATATCCTTATGCACAAAACAGTTTATATTACAGTCACTGTCACTATCGATTACCGCACTTTTTTTTAGTAAATTACTGAGTTAAAAGATTTTAGCTTCGACAATGGCCTGTTTTACCAACATAATATTGCCTTTAATTGTTTCGGTAATTAATCTGTTTCTCTTTTTAGTTTTTGTGTCATTTATTTGGCTGAACACTCTTTCACACTCGGCGTCAGAATTTAGAAGAGCCAAAATTTTCAGCATAAACCCGGCAACCAAACTAAACTTTTCAAACTGCTTCTCCTGTATTGTATGCTATAAGAAGAAAAATGTATAGAAAGTTCGTAACTTGTACTTGATAAAAATGCTTTTTACCTTCTGTCGACATAAATCGGGTTGTTGGCTTTTATCTAACTTTTTTTTAGTTTCGGTAATTTTCGCCTGTTATTGCCTGTTTGTTGTAGCTCGGCCAAAGCAGTTGATGTCAATCCAATGCAATACCAGACAATTTAAACGACACATAATATATAACATTAAAACTACACTATGGCATATCCAACTTCATTTACCTGAATGATACTAACCATACGGTACAGCCAATACGGGGACTTTTATTGTGTAGTGTCTGTCTTCATGATTTACGATATTTTTCATAAGTAATCTTTCATTATAAAATTAAATTTTATTATTTGTTAAAAAAATACTGTGTATACCAAACACTGTATTTATAAAAATACGGTATGCAGTAGACGGCATGAAAATACGGTAGATCTACTGTAATTACAGTGTATCTGGTAACATTGCATGGTGTGTTTTTAGATAATGCACAAATAATTCAAGTAATGTTAGCAAATATGAAGGAATAACTTTATATCGGTTATTAAGATACTTAATCAATAAGAAAAAGTATTATAGATTAATAATAAAACAAATTGTTCCTAAGACGCCACCTCGTGTCACGGAATATAGATTATAAAATTAATTTGTTCAGATGCGACATTTGTGTGGGTACTTAAGTATAGGACGAATCAATATCTAGTAGACTAGAGCACGTGGATATTTAAAAAAAGCGCACAATTGCACAAGATTTAGCGCCAAATGCGTTGAAACGGCAACATTGGTTCTTATTCTGTCCCTAGTCTATACCGTACCGTACCATGTCCTGTCGCGGTCACTGACGTGACGTCAAACGTCAATGGTCAAATCAATCCTCACTCCTCAGTCACTGCGTGTGCGGCTGTGGCTGGTTTTACTTTTAGTTTTAATTCGAACGTGGAAATGTGAAGTAGTGTTCGCAGTGTTGAAACATTAAATCACTTGATTCGATCTGATTTCATCTTTCGATTGATATTTAATTTTCTTGCTGTATCACCTGTGGCCTGTGGGTGTTAAAGGACAAGCATCCAAGTCAAAAATCTTAACGAAAATAAAAATAAAAATACCAACAACTGTTAAAACCAAGTGATTTATGCACAAACTGAAACTAATAAGAAGTGCGATTTGTGTAGATACTAAGATATAAAGATAAAGATTTATTTTTAAAACATTCAGTTATGTTTTTTAACTCTTGGCGTTTAACTTAATACCAACTAAGAAAGAGCTAAGGACGCCAAAACCAAAAATAAATTTGAAGAATGAGACATGGTTTTACATTTATATAATTATATTTTTGTTATAATACAAAAGTGTACAAAAGGATAGAGTTGTTTGGTTTGGTTATGAATAATTTGAAAGTTTTGTTGTAAATTTAACAAATAAATCCTCATCAATGTTTGAATTTGGTCTGAGTGATTGAATCATAAAATAGTGGCCTCAGAAGACAGTGTAGGTGGATCACAATTATAATATTCAACTAGCAAGTGAACGTCAAATGTGTTTGGTTAAAAGGAGGGTGGCATACATTTGTCCTTTAGACATGACTTTAGCAGAGAGGTTATCGCCCCAAAGTGAGTGGATTATGTTAATTTGATACGATATTTTGGCTATTTAAAGTTAGGTATATGTAGTATGTTCTGTGTGTAGGTAGTTAAATTATTTTGCGTGTCGAGTTTTTAGGTTATAATGGCCTAACCATTGCATTTACCTGGAGTATTTTAATAGATATAGGTGGTAGAGGAAAACTTAAATGGACAGCATCTAAAGGAATAAAAAAACTGCCGTTGCCAAGCATGCTAACTATGGCAACTATTCCCCCTTTAAGGCAATATTTAAGCAAATCCTATTTTTCACAGTGAAGTTGTTATAGGCCCATCCCCAAAGATATTAGATTAGTTTATTGCAAACTAAAAGTACTCATTAGATTTATTATTCATTTATCCATATTTTAATATTTATAGCAAAAATTGGTCTGTGACATTAAAGAAAGCAATTTATTATTATCATATTAGAATCTCTTGTGGAACAAGTATTTGTATAGCCTTCAATAAAATGTTCTAGGTGTGCGTGTTTGTCCTTGTACAATTAAGTATGTGGTTTATTTACACAATACAGGAGATAATTCTGGTGTATTATTTCTAAAAAGAAAACAAATATGGGTGTAATGGTAGCTACCAAGTGTGGTTATTAAGTGATTATAGAAAATTTTGCAGAGAAGCATATTATGTTATAGTGTTTCACTAACTTAACAGTCAAGAATGTCCTGGATATTAATATTCCATCTATTTAGAAATTTAAAAATAACAGGTTTTTGATCCAATGTTTGGGATCAGGACAACTATGAACCTATATAAATGGATATCAGCATAAATTATCAACAATGCTGATTTGTTGCTTTGCACGGTTAGTGTATAGAAAAAGAGAATGTTTTTACTGGGTGTAATAAATTCTAACATAGTTGTTATAAGTGACAATGCATTTACATTTTGATTCTTAATGAAGGATAGATGTAGGTATCTATGGGCCGCAACATGTATTTATCATGTTATTGATCATTTGTCACTGTTACCATTACCATAACAGCCTATTAAAATACACTGCTAAACATAGGCATCCCCCTTAGATTGCTGTAGGTGTTTGTGTTTGCATAGTTGCCACACTTCGCAAGCAGAAAATGTTGCTGCTCATTTCATGCTTTGTTTTCCTCTGTCGCCTCTTACGATACTCATGGGATGATATAGGATAGTGGATATTTTTACACTATCAATACACAGCGTCACTATCTCGTCTCCCTTAAAAAACATTAGGCTCAATGGTAAAATACCTTCAATTGATTTGTTGTTCTAAACTTTGAAGAAATTATGTTTTAACTTAGGTGGATTTTATGATTTATTATATTAAGTTTAACTTTTTAATCTAACAAAGCCCAAAATTTTAAAGATAGTGTTTTTAATTTTTTTTTAAATGTGGCCCTCACACTAGTTTTTTCCCCTGTATCGTGAAAACAATTTTCACATTTAAAATGCATAAGAAAAAACATCCAGACCTGGAACAATTGCTTGTAGGTCATACAAACTTGTTCCATGCAGGATTTGCACCTGCGGCTTTCAGCACGCCGAAGCATTGCACGAAGCCATCGATCGAAAATCAAAAAGATTTACCTTCTATGTTTTTCTTTGTCATCAGATATATCTAAAGTCCATCTCTGTTGTCATAGGATGGATTTGACTTAACTGTCACACTTAGCAGACAGATTGACAATTGTAGTACCAGATGTGTCATATATGGGTATTTTATTTCACGAGTCAACAAATATTTTTTTATAGAATAAGGGTATCAAATGAGCACACAGTCCACCTATAAGTAGGTGCTGTGGTCTATAGACATAAACCATTTATCCTCAAATAAATATCAAAATGCAGATGCATTCTCACCCCTAAAGAATGAGATGGAATGCCTAATTTTCAGTAAAATGGGTTTCCAGTTCTCTGCACTCACTTGCTATTTTACGCTGGTATTCTGTGAGAGTGTGATCCTACGGCATACTTATATGGCATATCCCATGGTCACCTTTTACACAATCCATGGGACAAAATAGGGTGGAGTCTCTTTGCTGCTGGCATTTACTACTGGCACTGGCATTACATGCCTATACTATTATGATATAACTGCCTAGTTGATCAAGGGGTTTTAAACACACAGCTAGCTGCTCATAATGAGGTCAGCTAGTTATATTATAAACTTAAAAATTTGTTATTTAATTGAAATTATTTGCCATTTACAGATGCTTGCGTGGAAGTGGGGGTACCCTTGAACAATTGGTCAACTGGAGTTGCATGCTGTCCAAACTGCAGGCATGAGCTGCGAGTGTCTTTAGCACCATGCCCTGGGAAGGGTCATACAATCCAGCCCCCAACACCAGTGACTCCAGTTACCCCACCTTTCACAATTCACCCTTCATACTTGCCACAATCTCCATTATATGCAACCCCATCTTCACCTTACCTTACCTCACCTTCACCCTACAATGATGAATTAAGAAGACTAGCAGACACTTTGAGGGCGCTGAGGCTTTCTGGGTGGTACTATGGAAACCTAGATTGGCAGGTTTGTACTTTACTTTCTGTTTTATTATTTATTACAAAAGTAATAATATTATAAAAATTTTAATTTATTTTACCACTTTTTTCTTTACAGGGTGCTCGAAATTTACTAAAGGATGCTAGTGTAGGTGCCTTCGTAATAAGAGATTCAGGAGATAGAAATTTCATTTTCTCTCTATCAGTTCAAACAGAAAGAGGTCCAACATCTGTCAGGTTACATTTTGAGGATGGTTTTTTTCGGTAAGATTACAATTTTTTACCACTAAAACAGAAAATACCAAATATAATATCTAGTAGTGTATAATGTATACTGTATTTTCTTTAATTACTAATTTATATAGTATGTGCCAAATCGATTGAGAAAAACGGACAATGACCTCAGATATGAGCCGAGTGTCAAAAGGCGTAACTTACAAAATCTCAATTTAGATGTGATAACAATATTTAAATATTGATATTATTCACACTTCTAGGTCAGCACATATGTTTTGTTTTTTGTTTCTTAAATAATATTGTCTGTGGTTGCTATAAACATCGTAAAATCTTACGGTACATCGCGAAATTTATATATATTTTATATTTCAATTTGTGGTAGGGAATGCAGCAATTCATTTAATAACAGTTTCATATTAAAAAAAAAATTTGAAGCAATGTAGTCACAATATTGAGCTTTTGCAAAATCATCCCTCTAAAATAAAAAAAAACGCGCGTTACGTCAGTTCGTTCTAAAAGAAACGTGACAATGGCAGCCAGAGATGTGTCACTTTTTTTTGGGCCGGTCTGCATGCACCGAATAAAAATAAATTTCTTATATAATATTGAAAATAAAGTTTTATCTTTTGAATAAGTATGTACTTTTCGGTGTTGTTATCACTCGAATCTTTATATGTGTTATAAAATAATGCTTTTTGTTGTTAAATGAATAAAGTACTTTATAACAGTAGATGATTTTTCTTCTACAGGGATCTTTTACATAACTTTTTAATAATAGTTAATATATAAATATAATACATTATATCAATCATTATAAAAAAAATAAAAAAAATCATTATAAACAAAGAAAGTACTACATATAAAAAGTGCCTATAAGGTTTGTAGCCCTTGGTTAAGCGACCAAAGGGTCATTGTCCGCTTTTCTCAATTGATTTGGCACATACTATAGATTATCCTATTCTTAGCTAATGCAGCATGGTTTGAATCCTGGGCTGAAAAAATAATTACACATAGGTGTTGCTACAGGCATATTAGGGTTGTATCATGTATTAGTTATCTTGACCTGAAAAAGATATAACCAGTGTAAAATAGCCACTAAATGCTGCTGTAATTCGTAGGATGAGTGAGTGAAAGGAACTGAAGCTCCTTTGTAATGGGATTTAGGCATTCCGTCGTAGTCTGCATTCTGCATCAGATCTGCATTTTGGTTTGTATTCAAGAATACATGTAGATGTCCATGGGCCACAGCATTCACTTTACGTCATGTGGATTATGTGCTTGTATAGTGAGGCTCTAATAAATTGTGGTATAACATTAAATGATATTTAAAAAAAAACATAAAGACCAGCAGCAGGAAACAGTATTAAAGGTGTGAGACATTTGATACTGTGATTGCAAATCTGCCAGTCTAGCATTAGGTATATAGTAGACCAAAAGTCGAAAATATTGTGAAACAAACCCCATGTCCAACAGTAGTCTAGAGTGGGGTATTTATAAGCAAGTTAGTAGGCAAAAGATAATTATAACAACTGTTAAGGTGTATGCAGTGTTCGTCAGTGATGAAAAAAATCGGGAGGAATCCAGAATGTCTAAGAAATAAAATATTACGAGGTTATGTGAATTCCGCCAACACCCCATGAGGTGCATTCATTGACGTTTATTTCACTTATAAAATTATTAATTCCATAAGAAAATAACAGTTAAATATGTAAATGATGGCCTTGACATTGTGTCATAGCTTATTGATAAATTATTATCAACTAGGAAAAATTCGGAATAACTAATTCATGAATAATTAATAGCTGGAGTTCCATTAATGAGTCAGCATTAGTCACTTATAAACTGGAATGTCAATAAGTAATATATTTAATAAGGGTATAATAAATTTTTGTTGACTATTGTAAAAAGAGAAGTAACTATTTAAGGAAGCTGTATAATATCTTAATAACCCCTCAACAGTATTTTTCTATGTGGCGTCTTTTCTTATATTATGTTGCTAACATTGCAGCTTGTGTTTACTGCACGGGAGAAATAATTTACTTAACTTCGTGTTTTCTTTAAATATATGGATATAATATTATGTTTTATACAATAAAATATAATAAACATGCTTTGTAATCTGAATTTTTAGAAAAATAGTAAGTTCTAGTAATTTAAAAAAAAATGGCAGAAAATGGCGGGAATTGAATCGCCACAATGAATGAGAGTTACTGACAATAGATATTTGACTCATAGCCGGGATGGATGTTTTGACTGTTGACCGGATATATATATATATATATATATTTATAACAAAGCCCTAACTTAATTCAAGTTGACATTCTTGGCCTTACATGAAACAGTGCAATTACCTAAGTAATTTTAATACAAAGTAAGAAAGAAAAGTTACAGCTTTTTTTTAATACAAAGGCTGACAAACAAACAGTCCACCAGATGGTAAGTAGATGCTGTGGCCCATAGACATTTATCCTCGTAATGTCGTTATTTCCAATAAAAAAGGGTTATATAAATGTTCTGCCACTGGTCACAGGCCTCCTCTCATTTCAGAAGAATTTTAAGAACAATTAGTCCTCCATTGTAAGTTTGGCAGACTTCACAGTCTTCAAAATATATTTATATATACTTCGAATATGCAAGTTCCCTCTCGATATTTTACTGCACTCGGCGGTACAGTAAAATATGTGGTAAATCATATGTTAAAATTGCTACTGACAATTTCATTGCTGCAAGCAGAAATTGAATCTGGGTTGCTAGCGTAGTATGAAATTTACGGAGAGCGATTAGCCCCTGAGCTACAGCTCTGTTTTGTATATTGTTAACAATATTTAAATGTTACTGTTTATCTGATACAGTTTAGTAATTCCAAAATATCTAAAGTATCCTTGTATATTTTCATTGCAGATTAGACTGTGACAGGCACCTAGCGAGGTATATGCCGCGCTTCAGATGTGTTGTGGAGCTTGTGCAGCACTATGCATGCGTGGGCGAACGAGGGTCAGCCGGCACTGTGTGGGTGGACCGTGAGGGCTGTACACATTCACCCGTGTTACTCCGATCGCCACTGAGAAAGAACCCACCTACGTTGCTTCATGCTGCTAGGCTAGCAGTACACAAAGCACTGTCGAACCCCCCTTAGGCCAAAACTGTGGTGTGCCCCCAAGCACAGGCTCTTACCACTACCATCAACACTCATAGACTATCTCGGTGAATATCCATACTCAATCTAATATTTGGATCTGTATTAGTTATTTATTAGTCCAATCGTAAGCATCTGACTGATGCATAGTGAAGATATTAGAATTTACAACCCATAGACTATTCAAGCTCGAGCTCAGACCAATGCTTGCAGAGTACTTATCATAATATTATTTTACAATGCTACATAAGGAGAAGTGATGCTTTATCAAATATATAATATTCAACATATAGAAAAGTACTTATTTCTTCATTTATAACTTTATTTTTCAGATTAAAATAGAACTTGAAAATAGTTAATTATAAGTTGGCATCTAACCTAAATCTAAATAATAATGATACATTTGAAAACTTTCTCTTAATTATTATACAACGTGTAACAAAAACCCTGTGGTTCTCATTGGGTGCGTTATCAGAATCAGTATCCAAGCATATAGAAATAATTTATTTTCAAAAAAACACTTAAAAACATTAATTTTAATGAAAAAAAAATTAATTTGCAAATTGTATGGGTTTTATTATTGGCCGAGGAGTAAGAGGATTCTCAAAGACCCCGCATTACAGATACTTGTGTGAGTTAGAGCAAATAAAACCACATACAATTTGCAAATTAACTTTTTTTCATTAAAATTAATTTTTAAATGTTTTTTATGAAAAAAAAAATTGTTTCTATATGCTTGAATACTGATTCTGATAACACATTGATTAAAACTACTTTTTAAGGATTTTATCGCGTTTAATTTTACTTTTAATTATTTTTATTTTTAATTTCCGACGTTTCGGGTGCTTTCCAGCACCCATGGTCACAGCGAACTGAGGTGATTGACGTCCCGATGTCATTCTTAAACTCAGAGTACCTTCAGCTATTTTTAATTATTGTTTATGGTCCGATCTATGCAAAATGAACTGATTATGTCCTGAGGTCTTGCAGTGGTATGCTTGGGTTTAGTTTTAATTTTATTGATCATAGGGTCCCAAGCAGGTGGTAGTACCCAGCCTCCTTCTCTATTGAAATTAGGATGTTTTTTAATTTCAATAGCCTCACGTATCATCCTTGGTAGGAATCGGTGTTCTTTCGCGAGGATTTGTGGTCTATCGAATCTGATGTAATGGTTGGGGCCATCTAGGATATGATCACAAACTGCAGACTTACCGGAACGTTGATACTTCACATCAGCTATTTGTTCTTTTACGCGGGTTCTAATTGATCTTTTTGTTTGTCCTATATAAGAGAGACCACATTCACAATCAAGCTTGTACACTCCTGCATCTTGTAGAGGAATATGACACTTGACGGATGGTAGGAACTGACTAATCTTCTTCGGCGGCTTGTAGAATGTTCTAATAGAAGCTTGCTTCAAGATGTAGCCAATCTTGTCTGTGACACCTCTGACATATGGTAGTACAGCAGGCACACGCTCGACTGTGGCCGGCTTCACTCGGTCACTGTGACATAGGCTCGGGACCCGAAACATTTTGTCGTGCAAAACTTGCTTGACATGCTGAAGCTCGGCAGCCAGGTGTTTGCTGTCACAGACCCCTCGTGTTCTCTGTAACAAAGATTTGCCCACGGTAGCTAACTGTGAAGGATGGTGGTGAGATTCACCATTTAAATATCGGTTTGTATGGGTCTTTTTTCTATACACAGTGTGATCTATGGTGATTTCAGATGACTAACACATCTAGGAAAAGTAAGGAATCATTTGCCTCTAACTCCATAGTAAATTGAATTTTAGAGTTTATGGAATTAAGATGTTCTAAAAATGCAGTTACTTTGTCTGATGGTAACATTGTGAAAGTATCGTCTACATACCGCTTGTAGATCCTTGGTGTAACAGGTGTAGTATGTCGGGGCAGAAACGTCGGGAATTAAAAATAAAAATAATTATAAGTAAAATTAAACGCGATAAAATCTGTAAAAGTAGTTTTAATCAATGTATAGTGTTCGCGTAAATATAAGAAATCATTCTGATAACACAGTTAACGGGAACCACAGGATTTTTGGTAGATGTTGTATACATAATATGTTGTCGTATTGAAAATTTAGATTTAACTGTACTTGATGTTTTGTATTTTGGTGTACAAAAGAGTAAATAAATAAATAAATAAAATTCACTCCTCCAAAGTGGCATTAAATGTACAAATTTGTGAGCAACCGTAGTTACTTTAATGCGTCTAGTACAGGATGCTAGAGCGAAAGGGCTGGCTCCTTAAAATTGACACTTTCTAAGTGTTTATATATTTTATATGTAACTTGTAATAGTTGAATAACTCCTGTATTAATCATAAGTATTGAATAATGGGACTCAAATATGGTATTTAGTGAAAATGTTTATGCAATGTTTTTGTTAAGTAATTTCTGTCTGTATATAGAGATGTTTTGAAAATAATCCAAGACTGAATTCCTTGAGCCTCTTTGTGTAACAATACATGTGTTTGTATATGTCTACAATTGATTTGAAATGCATTTGCTGTATATAATTTAACAGGGGGTAGAATGAGCCGTAATGCGTTACAATATTTATCGAATTGTTCACTAATGCCTAATCTTGTCCATAATCTTAAGAGATCATCACACTATTTTGTAGAAATACATATTTTATTTATTTATTCCCTGACTAATACCTAGGTTAGTTACTAAATGGTTAACTTATATAATTTTTGTTCCTATCTAATTTTGTAATAAATTAATATTAAATTGGTTATAAATGTGTTTTATGCTTGTAAATTCAGTATCAAACAAACTTTCACTTATAGTTTCACACATACAAAATTGTATAATTTTGCAATGTGCCATTGTAACCACATTATTTCACCTACGAGGATATATTTATGAAATGAACGTATTTTTGAGGCTGAAAATGTAAATAGTTCTTGTTTTTTTTTTTTTTTTATTTATTGCTTAATTATAATAAAACGTAGCGAAATTTTTAAAGCATTGTGACAAATTTTACACCATGTAATGGTTTTTCAGTTTAGGTAGAGGTATAGGTAAGGTTTTGGCTAGTGATGATCACTAATTTAGGGTGTTACCACAGCAATCGATCGTCGATCGAGCTGCTTGATTGTTCGACAAGTCGCTCCGCTTCACCAACCACATTTTGAAAGATACTAATGATGAGCTCACAAGCACATTGTCGATCGATGATTGAACAACATTTTATATCGACCGGTCAATCTGCTAAAGCTACCATACCAAGCGATCGACATCGATAGACGTCGATTAATGGCATCGATCGATTGGTGGTGTTGAACACCCTTAGAATAAATCGTGTACCTTGAATAATCTCATTTAGCATATTATTAGACCTCACAATATATATTCATTCTATTTTAGTAGCCGAAACTCACTTAATACTATTTTAGATTAGTATCAACCAATAAATAGTCAGCCTCGAACAAAATGTGCTTTTATTGATGTAAACATTATTCATTAATAGCATTGTGTGTTGAGTGAGAATTGTGTATCACTTTGTTGACAAATTTATTTTTTTACCATTTAATGAAAAGCACCAATTAAATAAGTGCGACATAATAGATAATGTGTTAAAAAAACTGTAGAATAACAGAAGAAAGAACTGCAAATAATTTAAATAAAAAATATACATTATGCCTTTAATTTATTGTTTTAATGCTTTACAAAACTTGATATTAACTAAATACAACAAAATATATTGTATTTTAACTGGGTGTGTAACTTCTCCCTTATTAGGCTAATTCTATTTTAGTAATCCTAGCTCGACTTAATGGTTACCAGTTACAACATGGTATGCCCATGTTCAGAGGCGGCGCAAGGCCTGGGCGATGTGGTAGGTGGCCTACGGCCAAGTTAAAAAAAATATCCATTCTACTAACACGCATCCCACAATACGTCCCGTATTTACAGTTTACTTTAAAATTTGGTATAGTAGAATCTGCGGACATTGAAGTGTACTATCTAATGCAGAATTTCCCATCTGAGTCAATTAGATTGCTCCGAGTTACGATGAAGTGGAATTTGTTGTAGTTGTCTAGTATTATGATGCAATTCATCTAAAAAGTTCGTGTGATAAGCAAAGTAGAATAGCATGCAGATGTCTTGACAGACAAAAGTTTAACAACAACTCCGCTTATTCAGTGTGAGTGCGGTCCATTAGTTGGTCCAAAACTGTAAATAATTTAAAAGTGGTTGGTGCCTTTCTATGTTGAAAATCAACAGATTGAGCTACATAGCTGGCGACAAGATATGTACTTTGATAAACTATTTATTAATCTGTGCTTTGAGTAAGATAAAGTGCAAATCTCGTTCCATATTATCTCAGGATAATGAATTAGTTTAGAATGGCTCCCCAGCATGTAATAACGGCAAGGTACCTGGTAAGGATAGAATGACTGCCTCGTTGGTCTAGTCGTTGTAGTGCGACTGCTGATCATGAGGTCCTGGGTTTGAATCCCGGGTCGGGCCAAAAAGTTTTTCCGTCAAGAAATTCTTAGTAGTTGCCCGGAGTCAGGAAGTTGGCGGTGTCTCACCCCCGTGCCTCGGAAAGCACGTAAAACCGTAGGTCCTGTGCCTGATCTCTCTCCAGTCGTGTCAGTTTACCGTCCTATCCGATTATGAGAGTGAGGGAATAAAGAGTGCACCTGTGCTTGCGCATACACTTGGCCACTATACTCCTGTCCTGCGCCGATGGCTAGCCTCCGTTGAGGCAGGCCGCCGTGGCCGAAATTCGGTCTGGAGGACATTATTATTATTATAAGGGTAGAATTACAACAGAGCTTTTTCAAGTGAACGGAGAATCTATAATTAATGTGTTTTAGGAGCTTTTTAATTATAATTAGAGATGGGCCAAATATGGATTTGACCGAATACGAATATACGGTAAAACTTTTACCGAACCGAATATTCGGCCGAACGTTATTCAGCAGGATTACCTCGGTACCTAACCAATTTATGTCGAAACT